CGATCATATGGTAAAAATAGTAGTAAACTAAGTAAACCAGAATCATTAGGCAAGTTCTCCCTTCAAAACTTTTATATAAGCCTTGACACAAATAAAGATTATGTCATGGAAGCCTCAATTATGTTATTTCACACTGTGCCAACAAGGACACAGAATAGAGAACCCAGAACCGAAAACCGAGACCCAAGAACCCATCATCATCGTCTCTGGAGCAACTTCATCTGCCAACTCTTGAACTCTAGCCTCTAGTTGCGGAAAATGTTATCTTTCCCCGGCTCCCGGGTTCGATTTATATTGCTGCGCTGCGGGGATGCGGAATTGGGCTCGGATGCAATTGTAATGGACAAATTCGGTTGGTTTACGTGCACGACAAGCAGACAAGGAGACAAGGAGACAAGGGGACAAGTACACGAGCACACAAGCTAGCTAGACAAACCCACTAAAACTGCACCCAGTCCAACGCAACTCACTTTGCAGGGCACATGCAGTCAAGTGATGTGTATGCCGGCTCTGTTTGCCATCCTTTGAGTTGAGTGGTTGAGAGTCCTTTCGAGCTGAGCCAGTCCCAGAGTCCTAGTCCTGGGCTCCGCCAGGGTGCAATACTTGAAATGCAACAAAATTTATGTGCATATGCATATGGCATATGGCATATTGTAGGCAGGAAGCCCGGCAAAGAACGGAGCCTTTGTCTGCCATGCCCCTTTCTTCCGTCTTCCGCCCTTTACCATCCACCCACCCACCGCCCTCCCGTTTTGGGCCACTCCTGATACACCGCATTCTAGACTTGGGCTGCCAGCAAACTTAACAAATGAGCGCTTGAGAGTCCTGCCAAAATGGGAAAAGCTGAAAGTTGAGCGCCGCGCTAAGCTGGCGCCAAAAGTTTCCAGTTTCTCAATTTCTCCGTTTCTCCATTTCTCCGCTTCTCAATTTCTCGGAGCAGAACAAATGTTGGAAACAACTTGGTGCAAACTTAGCTGCGCGAGGCCGGCCAGCCAGTCAGCCAGTCAGGCAGTCAAGGAAACACCACCCAGTACCCAGTACCCAGTACCCAGTTTGAATGGGAGCAGTTTGCAAAAGTTCACTAGCACTTCTACTCCACTCAGTAGTGTGGCCAGGGCAAACAAAGTGACTGCAGTTTGTTGTCCTCGTCAGGACGGTTTGAAGGAAGTTTGAAGGCACTCGCGAGGGCTGATGTATTGTGCGAATCATAGAATACTTATAACTCATAGCGCAACTTTTTAGCTCTGCCCACTCATATCAACGCATGAAGGGCGAAAAGCCTATTTTTATAAACGTTAAACATTGACCAACAAATTGGGTCTTCATCGATTTCAGGAAATTCTTTATTTTGGAAAGCAAGAAATCTTTCTTGATCATTAACCGCCAGTCAATCTTTTCAAATTAGCAGCTCAAACTCAGACACAAGAAAAGTTAGAAACGGGCATTTACCTTTTGACTTTTACGTTCAACGTTCAGATATCCTAGTCATTATTGCAAGCAGGATGAACGTTTTTAATGAATCTCTGCAGCAGATCAAAAAACTTTGGAAGTTTTGTTCTTTCGCATGCCAATATTAGCACTCACAAATTCGACGGCAGAGATGTGTTTGTATTGTCAATGTCAACTTTAAAACTCGCACTGGTTTTAATTTGGTTTAACCGCTCATCTGAGGTGATATTTACGTTCGTGCTTCTTTATGGAAAAACTTTTGGGGGATCGGGGACACTCACACTCATCCAGTCGCACTCAGACAATGCATAAGTGCCTGGCTACACATAATATACGACATGCATACACAAAAAAAAATCTATATGAAATACAGGGGGTGTTCCTGAAATATTCAACAACCGAAAATCAATCAGAAAGTTATTGTTGTTGTTCTTGAATTTTTTTGTATACCATTTTTGAAGCTTATGCAGCTTTATTCGATTTATTTGTAATGCTTTTGATTTTCATTTTAGGCTTGGTTTAAAAATACATATTCAAATGTTTTTTTTTTTGATTTTTGAAAAACATATTTATAGAAAACCAAGAATTGCTTTTATGTTACCTTCAATAAAAGAAAAGAAGGAAAACAAAGGAGTTTTATCTTGACCAGAAAGCTATTCTCAAAGCGATCTTAAATGTTTTTTGAACACACCTGGATAACGATATGTTTTTGTATTACTTTTCGTATTGTTTTGAAACAGAGTTTCAAAATCAGGGCTGGTCAATAATATTATATAGCAGTCATAATAAAGAAAAACGTTATATGCTAAAAGTGGGGAACGAACCTCGCCCCTTTTGACCCACTTACTAAGTCAAAGGGTATAAGCTAAGGCATTACTTTGAGATTGCATTTCGAAAGAGGGATATCTCGAGTGGATAGACGTTAGGCACGTACCATTTTCAATACAATTCACTCATCAAAAAGTTAGAGAACATGTAAATTTCTATTTGATTTGCGAATATTAAATTGATATAAAGCTGATTTTTTATCTGTGTACGTACGTCTGCACGCGCCCATGCATATGCATCCCAGTGCTGCAAAAAATATGCAAATAGAACGCAATTTGCATGCAAAGTGCCATCAAGAGAGCGACAGAGTGCGAGTGTGTGAGTTCGCGAGTGTGCGAGAGAGCGCGCCCTGCAAAAGTGGAGTGAATCTTATTAGCCACGCCAAAAGAAGGGCCAAGAAGGACGAATGAGGGCAAAGGTGGGGATGTTCATAACGTAAAATTCAAGCCGCGATTGAACACCTACCCCGCCACAGAAATCCTTAGTTGTTTTTTCGCACATTTTCCAAAGCCTTGTTGTAGCACTTATGTAAAAAATACGTAAAGAACTAAAACTTCGGCCAGCTGAAGTTTTCATACCCTTGTACCTAACCTACACCAAAAATGTATTATTCTACAAAACGACTAAAAACCGAATTTCAAGTCTATATGTTTTGCCTATAAATTATACAATCGTTTCTATAAAATAAAAATTTATTTTAAAATCGCACACCTTTGCACATCTCATGTTATAAGCGTATATCTTCAAAAACAACGAATCTATATTAAATTTCCTATTAATTTTCGGATCTTTTCTATGGCCTTTGTAAGGGTATATTTATTTTATTTATTTATATAAAGCTAGCTTAAGTTTTAAAACTATGAACTAACTATAATAAGAGCATTAGCAGCTGGGGCCTTCCACTACATAAGGGTATAATAAACATACATTTACATACACTATGGAGCATGTGGCTCAATAGCCGTATACTATTGCCACTTATTTCTAGTTTCGACCGCATGTGGACAATATAACCCGCCAACGATGGCAACAATCTGGCGAAATTTGCATAACGTATATGAAACAGGAAGCGTTTTCGATCCTACCAAGTATATAAATTCTTATACAGAATAGGTATTGTATCGACTATTTGGGGCTTAAATCTCCCCCTCGGTAAACAACCGCATTTTGTACTAAAAAGTATGCTACAAAAAAAATGTTCTTTGAAATTTCTCCCACGCAACCGATTCTATATTCATCACTTCGTTTGTTATGCGGACGATTATTTAAAATGCACACAGTTCTTATGTTTTTAAGTGCAATTTTTTACATATTCACATATGGCCAATTTATATAATCAGAAAAGTCAAATAACACGGGCAACGGAAATAAATATCCACGATTTGTACTTTTCCACATACCACATTTGAATAAACTCCTATTCCATATCTAATACATCTTTAACACGAAGTACTTTATGTAACTACATAAAAATGCACTTTCTTTTGGGGCATACAATTTTTTAAAGTCCTGCTAATTTTACAATTGGTTTCACTCTTTTCCCACTTAGTATTTGTAGTTTTTTTTTCTACTTTCGATGGCTATTTGTAGACGTCATTTGCAGTGTTTGTTGTGGTTGATGCAAGAACAATTTCAGAACATATTGTTGTTGTTTTGGCCAACGTACTTTACTCGGCCTGCTTTCTTGTATGGCATGTTTTGATTTCTTACACATTTAAGCCATTAAAATGCAGAAAAATTTTCTTGAAAAGAAATTTTTACCGGAATTTCCCTCGTTTCTGTTCTTTAACTCTGGCAAGCGGAACACAACGCGACAAAACACATTTTTTTTTATTTATTTATTTATTTATTTTTTTTTTGCCTGTGTGTGCCATTTGTGTGGGCGGAAGTTTGCGTGCCATTGTATGTGTGTTTGTGTGTTTGTTTGTGTGTTAGGGTGTGTGCAAAAGTTTTACGAGCAAACCGAACTGACATGTTAATTATTTTCCGTGGAACTCCAAAGACGAATAATACGCTTGCAATGTATGGGGCAAAGGAAGTGGGCGGTAATGAGTGAAAAAAAAATAGAAAATAAAAAAAAATAATAAAAAGAGTTGCTGCCAATGTGGGGCAATTGCGAGTGTAAAAGGGGTTGAAAAAGAAATGCAGAATGCCATAGAAAATTGGCCCAGAAACATTAACAAAATCGAATGGGTAAAGTGGCGTCTAACGATGCGCAAAAGTTTTATAACTTCGTTGTTTTTGAAGAAAATTGCAAATGACTGCAAATGTGGTTGATTGATGCGAATTTAGCACGACATTTTTAATTTCACCAACATTTTTCGTATTTTTTAAATTTTTAGTTTCAAGTTAAGTTTCAAGTAAAGTTTTAATTTAATTTCAAGTAAAGTTTCAAGCAAAGTTTTAAGTTAAGTTTTAAGTTAGGTTTCAAGTTAAGTTTCAAGTTAAGTTTCAAGCCAAGTTTTAAGTTAAGTTTCAAGTCAAGTTTCAAATAAAGTTTCAGGTTAAATTTAAAGTTAAGTTTAAAGTGAGGTAGATTAAAGGAAAACCGGTCGACTACATTTTATAGGTGTCATTAATAGGCATAACCCAATTAATGGGTTCTGTCTGGGGTTAAACGTCTAATAAGCCGACTTGCTCAAATATGCAGAAATAGGTTAAATGTCTCCAACATTTTGATTCATTCCCCGAGGCCCCTGTCCATATATTGGTGGATAACTTACCCATTTAACAAGAACCTGGTAATCTGAAAGAGAGACAAAAAGTGTGAGAATTAACAATTTAGAATGTGCGAGAAATTGTGAGAAGCTTAGGCTTACAATATACAATAAAGAAGAGGATTTAGGCTGCATTGTTTAATTTTTGGGATAATGTTTAAGTCCATTTAACAGCCTTTCAAATTTTTAATAATACCTGCTCGGCAATAAAACCAATATTGATGGCATCTCGATGCTTATTTAAATGTTTTATGTTCTCAAAACCATAATAAAATTCATAAAGTTGACAGGCTTGGGGGACCTCAGCCAGCCAGCCAAGCACTGGAAATTCCCGTGGGGCTTTCGCTCAAGGAAGCACAACTCTTTTCATACAGAATTAGCGAAAATAACCTGGAAAAAACCTTCATTCACTTTTACACACACGTGGAGCTGTGCCTGCAGTGAAATTCTATATCTGTTTACAAATCTGCCGCACCCAAGGGAGCGTAAAAAACTGCTGGCTTGGGCTCAATGGAAATCTAAATATATAATGGGAAAGGCTGGGGCAAAAATCAAACTCCCCAAAAATCTTTTTTTAAGTTTAAAAATTGTAAAGGTAGATATGTAAATCCATTTGTATGTGTTTATCATTGATTGGTAAGGTATCTATTTACTCACAAGGCTTATTGACATGCATTCTTTCCTTTAGAAGGTTAGATTTTTAAATCAAAATAAGTAGTTTTATACATTTTAAATATTACTCTTTCAGATTTATAAAAAACGATCGAGTATATTATCGAAAAACCTTAAGGAAATCCAATGAGAAAATGTTTAATACACCGTGCAAAAACGAAAAATTACTGTAGTATTCTTTACAGTGCACAACAGGAAGAACTTCAATACCTGTATCTCCCGAATTGGGGATGTCATCCCAGCTAAATAGCGAAATCCATAAACATTTGGTTCACCCAATGCCTCGAGGTCCGACAGAAATGAATATAGGTGCAAAAATGATTGGGCGGAGGTGAAAGCGTTAAAGTTCGGGGGCGTGGATGCTGCAGAATCAAACAATAAATCTCTTTTTCCAGCGACGTTACACACGCTAAGCTCATTTAGATTTATGTACCCCAAAACTGTTTTGGGAAATCCATTTGTGTGTGTGGGTGTGTGTGTGTGTGCGTGCTGCAAAACTTTTCTGCTTACGCATTTTGCTTTGCCACGCCCCCCGCACTCCCTTGCCCCCTGCCCCACACCTTTCTCTCCACTTTTTAGGCGGTCGGTACACATCGAGTACCAGATATTAGATTTGGCCACGCTGAAAATTTTGGCAGCACCCCCCTCTTCGAATTCCGTTACCGAAAATCGCGAATTTCTATCCCCGCCACTTTTTTGATGGTAGAAAAATGTTTTCGAGGCGGACCAAGTTTGTATTGTCAATATCAATATAACTTTTCTAGAAAACAACCATAAATGTTTTATTTGAATAAAAGTCCTGCCATTTTACCGATACAACATAATTTGTATCAGAGCAGGCAGCAGTACATGTTTATTGCTTTCTTTGTTGCTGTTTTATTAAAGAACCTGATCTCTTGGCACATAAAAAGTTTCAAGTTGCCTTTAAAAAGTAAAGTGAATTGTTTAGGGACAGTAAAAACGAATAGACTGATATGCTTATATTAACAGATCTGGTTATTGTTAATATGGCGCTGGAGTTGTAACTTTGGTCTAAAATAGGTATACAAAATAAATTGTTCAAAAACATTTTTATGATGATTTCTAAACAAGGATTATGAAGTTTTTGGCTAATTTGTTTGGACAAGTTATTTAGTGGCTTAAATATGACTTTTGACTTAATGGCATTGGACTTAATAAATATACCCCCCTTTTCAAAGGTATACAAATATTTTGCCACCCGTTAATGAAGTTATAAGTCCATTGTTGAAATAATAATATGGTTAGAAAATTATAAAGAATATTTATTGACTTTTGGCATTAGCGAGTCGGAAATGGTTCTATTATATATTCGTTTATCTTATGAAAATGAGCTAGGCACAAAGAGCCAGAAAATCGGTTGAGGAGCAGTTCCGATTGAATGTTTACTTACAAAATTTAGCAGCCAGAACAAAGGAGCAAAACAAAAGTTCCTCGAGTCGAGCTTGAAAGTAGTTTTCTAGCTGACAGCACAACAATTGCCATCTCCGCGCCACAGGAAGCACGCTTTTCTCGTCCACGCAGCAAAGTCAACGTCAGCGAGTGCGCACTCAACCGAGGCACCTGTCTCCAGTTCTGCGTCTTTCTGCCACATGGATAAATGCAGGCGAATATATATATATATATATATATATATATATATATAGAGTAAGTAGAAGTGCATGTTCTATCCTCAAGATGCACTCGATTTAATTCAGTTTGTTTCCCCCGATAGGGGTCGTAAGTTGGCTGCTAGTGCACAAGCTGTGGGACTTTTTCAGTTTAGCTCTGACAAAGTATTGGTATTAAAAATGCATCAACAACTGAATAAAACAAAGCTATATACTGTAAATTATTCATTGATTATATTAGTAGTATTAATTGTCAGATTGAATATTTTTTTTCTTTTTTTTAGGCTACTTCCAGAACCCCGTTCCCAAAAAAATATCAAAAAACTGCAAACAATGACCAAGCAAAAAAAAAAGGAAAAATAGAAAAAAAGGGAACACAAAACCAAAAGACAGTAATGCGAATCGACATTTGACTTGCGAAACCTTTATGTCACTCTGTGTACAAAATGAGAATATCTGTTGAATGCCCAATGCGATGTCAGAACCAATTTGACTCTTTTGTATCGCGCAGATCTTTGGGCTCATGACCAGTCAATAAAGAAATACTTTAAAAAGTCGAGCAAAGCCCGAGTCTTTATGACTCTAGCCTCTAGAGATTTGGGTATAAATGAAGCATTTGGCCGGTTTGGTTCCACATCCGCTCCCAAATCTCCCTGCCCCCTCTTCTTCTTCTTCCCGCTGTCCCAATCAGATGTAACATTTCTAGGCTTATCGCTTCAACCCGAGAGAAACACCCAGCTAAAAAGAGGCCCACGCTGACATGAGCTCTGGGGACAGGCCCATGGGATGTGGATGTGGCTGAGGAGGTGGATGTGGCTGTGAATGTGGCTGTGAACGGTCAAGACCGGCCTGGGAAACCGTTTTTCAATGGCTTTTCAAGCTTTTGTTATTTTGGGGGCCCCCAGGCCATAGGGTTTTTTTTTTTTTTTTTTTTTTTTGGGGCGAGCGAGCTGTTGCCTCAAAGCCCCTCGGCTGTGCCTCATCTGTGCTGGATTTGTCAGCCCTGCAGAAAGGCGGCGAAAGAGGATGAGCGTCGTGGTGGAGAGCTTTTTTGCTTCCATAAAAGGACTTTTGGGGTACCCCTTCGTCATACTTTTTAATCGCCGTTTCGGAATTTAATAATTTCAGGTCGCTGGGTTTAGCTGGGGTCACTGGGGCCGGGCCGTTTCGCCCTTGTCGAAACATATTTTCCCCATTTGTTTTTACTCCCGACCATTTATACACCTGTTTGGCATTTGTTTTTTGGGGGCGAGTAAGTGGCTAAAGATGATCTGACTGGTGCTTTCACAGCTGGACCTGTTGGCCTTCATTATTCAGTCCTTGCCCCAATTATAAGTACTATGGCCAAGGTCGTGCAGTAGCTTTTTGTTTATTTTTTTTCCCGCGCATAAATTCATTATTGCTTATTATTTGTCTTTGGACATAAAGACTGAAATTTAAATTCAGCTCTAACCAAGAGTTCTCAAAACTTTTAATTAACCTTTTAGCCAGAAGATAGCAAGACAGTAGGAACTTCACATCGGATGTGTCTTCTTAAATTCGCTAAATATTTTTCCGATTTTTTTAGCAGCCATCCTTAAAATAATAAAAATAATTCACGCTTATTATTATATATCATAATATTTTAAATTGTATGTATATTTAACAGCCTTGAATTCCTATTTACATACATATGTTTTATTTTATTTGTATACCCATGCAGACAGTATTATAATTGCATATAAATGACCACACTGAGAATTCTTTGGATTTGATTGCTCGATTTTGTTGGTCTTAATTGTTAACTGTAGCTTTTACCCGAACTGAAGTTAATTTTTTCTTTTTAACGTTTATACGCAAATAAGTCGCTCAGTTTTAAAGATATTTGGATACAGATCTTTTTTCTGTTGAAGGTAGTATATAAGTCAGAAAGTGCCGAATTGGCCTCCTAAACCATACAGATCCCATTGGAACAATCGGGAACGGGAAATAAAATTCGTACTTCGTTGATTTTTAACATCTATCAATATATTCGAAGATATAATTATTTGTAAAAGCTGCAAGGGTATATAAACTTTGGCTTGCCGAAGTTTGCTCCCTTTCTTGTTAAATTTAATATTCCTAATTCCTTTTACAGTACCTTTATAGTCCTAATATAGTTTATATAGTTCATTTTTCCCATTATAAAGGAAATATAAAGTTCTTACAAAATGTTTTTTTTTTTTAATTTGTAATGACATTCTTTACTTAAAAGTATTAAAAGTAGTATTAAATAACCATATAAAATACATAACTTCTCCACTCCTGTTATATTTTATGGTTTTACCATATCAGATCTTCCATATTATGCATTTTCTTCTGGAGTTGCACTGCCACCACACTATAAACTGTGGAGGAGTGGAGGCGAAATAGGATTTTATGGGATAGAGAATCATTTGTGGGACTCATCCAGGCCGAGGGGCAAATACAGAGTTACTTTTGCATTTACACACACATGATGCATTCATAGCCATTAAGATAAGTTAGTCCCTCGGACAATGGGAGCGGCACGTGCGTGACAAGTAAATTAACAACCAATCCCAAAGTCCGCCCCTCTGGGCCACAATTATCTGTCAAGCGACCATAAAAATGCTCAATTACACCGTACGCCAACGCGCTTCCAATATGTGCCACACGTGCACACGGCCACACATGCAGGCATCAAATAAATTATGAATTTACTATCACCAAACAATTTATCATGAGCTCTAGTTCAAATTTCGATTGTGTGATAAGCAAAAACGAAAACGAAAGCGAAACTTTGATCGCAAACCGAGACTTTATGCGGGCCCATTGCAAGTTCTTCAATATACTTTCGAAATACATAAATATTAAATCCCATCCTACGGTCTCTTTACACAACCTGATTTCCCATCTGAATTGTTTTTGATGTATATCTTTAGAGGGCAAAATATGAATTCCAAACATATATCTGAGGCACAACAGAAATGAATAATTGTTAATTAAAGGATATTCAAAGGACTCCTTCCAATTACGGTTGAGCTTTCGTTTGTTGTGTCTATTTGCTTTGGCTTTTCTGCTGCGGTGGTAATCCGACATCAAAACCGAAACCGAGCAACAAGAGTTCTCAAAGGCCAGAGCTTGGTGAGTGTGTGTGGAATTAATATTCTAATTATATGCTATAATATCCAGTATTATACATTTGCGGGATCTCTCACGAAAGTGTGAATGGGGAACGACGTGAGGGTTTGTTTGAATTGTAATTGAAATAATTGAAAATTCCTTATAAAAGGCAGCTGAAATTTTGGTTAACCAAATCTCAAAGTAAGGCTCAATAGTAATTTTTTTCCCTACAAATGTAATACATCTTGACATGAAATTCTAGAAATTCTTTGAAATATTTTAGTGTAATTTGCAACATATTGCATTTAAATTAAATAAATAATGTTGGAATATTTACTTTTAGCTTTATATTAACTTTTTCACGTAATACGATTTAATATGATTAATAATTTAAAATATGTTTAAGTTTATGTGAAGTCTATAAATAAAAATCACAGTCACAATAGGTATCAATTTTTTGAAAAGTACAAATATTTCGAAAGTATGACAGCTCAAATGATAATAAATATTTCTCGTCTATCAAAATATGCCATATATGCATTTTGTTGTTAAAACGATTCAAAGTTGAGCAATTAGTTAAGCCAACTTTTCGTTGGAATGAATCCACTACTCAAACTCACCAGGTTCGTTTGAAAACAAGTTCCGAGGACGCCGGAACTTTCCTTCGTCCTTCTCTGCTCTTCACGTGTGTGTGGTGGTATGGTATTCGGAATATCAGTGTTTATGTTTAGTTTGGAGGACCATGACGGTTGGCTGACGATGACACCCTGCAAGATCAGAGGAAAGCGAAAAGTTAAAGCCAGTTCGCGATGATGATATGATGGAAGATTAATTAACATATTGATTGGTTTTTGGGTGCACAGCTCACACGGATGAACTACTTGTCACTTGCACGTGGAAACAACAAGCTAAATTGAGCACAAAGTGAGTCGATGTGTTGGCGTCGATCAACTGTTAGTGGTTGCTTATTAAGCACCTAATCGACCGTGCCTGCTCCCGTATCCCGTATCCCCATCCCGTATATCCTCTATAGCATCCAATCCGATGCAAACAACTCTTTTGGCACGCGAACACGTGAGGAGACGAGCGGTGCGCTGATTGACAGGCGCAGCCAATTAAGTGGTGTTCCCGTGGAACCCAGGACTCGTGTGGACGGCATTGGGAATCAGGCTTGGGGTTCGGGCTCCACGCGGATTTGGGGGAACACCCTTACCTGGTGTGTTCTAGTTGCTACCAACTATCAGCTCCCAGCTCCCAGCAACCAGTTTCCGGTTGCGTGATGTGTGTGTGAGTGTATCTGCCGCTGGACTGACGATGGATTTATTTCAGCGCAAAAATGGCAAACAGGAAACATAGGAGCACAAAGGAGAATCAGGACGAGGAGGGTGCTGCGACAGCTGCAGCTGCAATTGCGAATGCAACAGCCACTGCATTGTCACGACGACAGCTGCCCTGGCAACATCAACATCAAACAGCAACAGCAACAGCAACATAAAGCAGAAAAACAGAAATAGAATTGCGGTAAGTGCGGATGAAATCGCCAAACCAACCCCCATCTTATTGCATCCCCTAGCCTGACTACAAAGTACTCGATTTCCCGATATGATATTAATTCAATAGTGAGCGCTCGGTTATCGAATAAACATTTGCCTCATTATAAACCGGGCGCATCGGATATTTTATCGATGTGGAAAAACTGAGGGACCTCGGAAAGAAAAGGGAGAAATTCAGGCGTAACTTTGTGTTTCTAGAAGGGGGATGAAAACCAACTAAATTTTAGATGATGAAAAAATATTCTTGATTTAAGGTTTCGTTTTTTCAACTCTCCAAAGCTTACAAAACGTACAAATTTATTTATTTCTTTGCATTTGAAATTTGGCTACTTTAAATAAAATAGTACTAAGCGATTATTAGAAATTTTAGGAAAGTGGCATATCGTATTTGCCCACCTTTTTCGATTTGTTTACCAGTGTTTGCATTGACACCAAAATACTTGCTTTATTTTTAAACCATCATATTTGTTGGCTACAATCTCGGGGTGAAGATTGCGCTATCTGTGTGCCGAATGGTGGTTGCTGGCTGCCAGCCACACAATTTGCAAACCGCGTTAAAGTGCCGTCTGCCAAGAGTCAAAGAATCATCTGCCGCCAGAATCTGCGGCAAGAAGAACTTCATCTGGTTGGTCCAGGATGAAAAGGACGAAAAGGGCACGTTGAGTTTCTCCATCCAGCGGGATAGAAATCCAAATTAAAGGTTTCATGATGGAGGCAGCTATGGCTGCGCTGCGTTCAAAACTGCAGCGCGCGAATTTGCATAAGCAATTACGGGCGCTTTTTGAGCGATTCAGGGGGAGTGTAACACAAATATTGTCGTTCGTCCTCGCTATCGTCGTCTATCTGTCTATCTGTCTATTTTGCCGCCGGGCCGCTTGACATTCTGACTAGGGAATGGGAATTGGGGATAAAATTGGCTTGGGTGACGACATCGTCGAGAGTCATCGCCAAGAGCCTGCCACGAAATTTGTAATGCATCAAAACAGAAATAACAAGTGTCGGCAAAAATGCAACATTGCACTTAAGCAGCGCAAGGTGTGCTGAGGAAGAAAAAGGTGAGATTAAATAGGCGATGGAGGCAGGAGCAAACGGAATAGGTGATTCCCCAAGTACGCCTTAATAAGGATCCCCTTGTCGGGATCAAATGTGATCAAAGAACTTTCGTAATGAACAGGCATTCAGTTGCCACTGTCATTTTAAAGTCATATTTCTGATCTTTCATTTGTTTTCATCTTTAACAAGTGTTCACATCAATTAATTCTTATAACGCAATATTAATATATAAATTGTTTTGACTTTCACCGATGGTTAATGAGTTTGAAATGATGTCCTGACAGAACTTTTTTCACTATCCATTTGGGAATTAATGCCAAAAAACATCGATTTTTATATGCAAATACAGATCACTAAAAACCAATCAAATAATTTAAAAAATTAAGCAATAAACCATTTAACGAGGTATTCAACGAATAAAGACCCCCTTATTAATTTCTAGTAACAAGTTTGCGATAAAAAATCTATAAAAATGGTAGTACTTAATAAGCATAGTGAATAAGAGCTTCGTAGAGCGATTGTACTAAAAATAATGTCTTAAACTGCAATCTTGCATGGGGGAATGTGCCGCGGAACACGGGGAGATGTGCCACATAAAATTCGTATAATAAACTGCATCTCGGCGGAAAATGGGGGAAAACGTTGTAGGGCTTCATCCCCAACAGAACTTTGAGGAAATCGGCTCACAGTTTGAGAGCTGTGCAAATTTCACGGCTGCTAACAAAATTTATTTGTGTGCCCATTTCGGAGGAGTTGCAGACAACCAAAGTTGCAATTTCAAGACGTTGCCTCCTCTCTCTTCACAATCCGTTTGTTAAACAGTAAGTGGCCATTTTATTTGTTGCAAACCTTCAAAGGTAGTTAAATTCAGCAGTATTTGCCGCCACGCCCTTGTCATTTTGCAAGTCTGCTTGATTTATGGCCAGCGGAATGTTTCCGAGCGGCATCCAATGCATCGATGCTATCTCAATCAATCAATTTCGCATAATACTAGGCTCCACATGGCATTTGTTCACCCTTTCAGACAGTTTTATTATTTTTCCCATAAGCTTGTACAGTGCATTTAAGGTCCTTCAGACCTATAAAGAGTACCCTTTTTTAAGGGTCAGTATTCAAGCTGTCTTTTAGGAAATAAAAATATTCAACAATTTTTGCGTGTTAAATTTCAAAATGGAGTTTCTTGGTTTGGAAGCCATTTAAAATAAGTTGGACTATCTTTTTGTATTTTAAAAATGTAATTCTTATATTTTTTTTTTAAAGTTTTTTTAACTTGAATGGAAAATTGCAATTTGGTTCCATCTTGATGGTACCCAAAATGTATGCTACTATTCGTCCTGTGAAATTTCGATTTGATATCGACCTTTTCGCCACTGTTTTTATAGGGTCACTAAAGTAGTTTTGCATTGCTCCGGAAGCCAACTCATAATATCTGCATTACCCGTGCTGGTTGAATGTTGGTCGGCGCTTAGGAAGCACTGTGGTCAAAACCACCACCCGGTCTTAACGCTCTCCATCAAAAACCCAAACCCTCCAGATCGGACCGGCAAATCGGGGGCCCGGCAGACCGCTAACGGGTTCGTTAGACGTCGGCCACTGCAATCAGTTAAACAATGTTGCATATTAACGCGTAACCCAGCGAACGCCGCACTCCGCACTCCGCGCTCCACATCCCGCTTTCCACTTCCCATTTTCCACTTCCACATTTGCCAGACTCGAGGAGCGGCCGCAATATCTTTGCATAAATAAAACATAAATTACCGACAGGCGGTTGTTGGTCTCTGCCTGGCCATGGCAGGGGCACTGCAAGGGGCAGTGCAAGGGGCACAGACACAGACACAGAGGCAGAAGCAGGGGCAGGGGCAGAGGCACTGGCATCTGGTCCTGGGTCTGGGTGGGCTAATTAAAACACTTGATGGCCTCTTCTATCGTCCGTGCCTCTCGGCCGCCACTCGACTAGGCCGTCTGGCTTGTGGCGTCTGGTTTCTGGTGTCAAAACCTCCTCAATCCTTGCTGCCGGCCTTGTTGATGGCGAATTTCGAATGGCACCCATAACCCCCTCCCCTCCCCACCCCTGACCCTCCTCTAGGGCTGATGTTGTTATTACACTTTTATGCTGGTGCTGCTAAAGGGTGTTCTGGCAAGGCTGGTAAGCCTTATCCTGGGGGCGTGCCAGCTTTATTGCGCGGAAGGGACAGCTGCTGTCGATGCCCAGTTTCAGTTTCTGTTTTCGGCCCCTCAGCAATTGGTGTACCTCGGTCGCTCACCTGTCACGCATTGCAAATTATTTATTGATATTAAGTGCTATTAATTATGATGCCATTTAAGAGCGTATTCTTTGGAGACTTTTCGACACTGGGTCGCGGTCGGGTTTTGTGGCTTTGGGGCTTTGCTTTGTATTGGATTTCTTTGGTCTGGCATAAATTGATTTCGTGGGGGCAGCCACGGAATTTAAATGAGATTTGAAGAGGAGATGCTGCTGTCAACTGATTTTTTGCGTACACTCTAAATAAAAAATGAAAAATTAGGACATTGAATTTATAGATTTGCCAACAAGATACATTTAAACACAAAATTAATAATAAGTAAAGATACTTTTCCACTGTTATATGTGTTTAGGTAACTCACAAAAATTAGAGGTATTTTTAGGATTTGAAACCTTGTACTAATTCCTTTCCAAAATTGACTAAACAAATGAATGGTGAAGAACCCCAATTGAAAGTATTTAAAATAAGTATAAGACTGTACAATTTACCTTGGCTTTTTACAAGCGTTCATCGTATGACATCGTAGGACAAACATTCGAAATGGGCTAAACTTGGTAAATGTTGAAAGTTGGCTTCTTACCCGTCTATTTGGGTTTATAGAGGGTCACGTGCTAACTCGGTTCATTTTTATGGATATTTTACCAGTGCCTCCGACACGTTTACTTTTAGTGTAAAGCATCATCCAAGAACGAAGAGTGCTGATAAGTAAGAGAATCAATGGTGGCAAAGGAAAAAGGGCGGACTTTGTGTTCGCTGTAACAGTTTCGGCAACTTGTTTTAGTTGTCAGACAATTGCGATTGGCAAAAGCATGACAAAAATAAAAAGCAATAAAAATTTCGAACATAAAATTTAACTTTTGCTCCCTTTCTGTTAGTGCGGGACATTAAAAATCTAGCGTTGCAGTCTCAGACTACAACTGGAAAAAAAAGCATGAAGAAGTGTAGATAAGGGGATGGAAGAAGTGAAATCCCCATGAGCTTTTCGCCCGGTTTATCTTATTTCAGCCAAACGGCGTAAGTCGTTAAAACCAAGCGGATTTCGCTATTGAATCTGTGGCAGGACCTTTTGTCTAAGTCTTGCTCCACTATTTTATGGTATAAGCTGATGCAAGAAATTTAAGAGATCAGATACATTTATATCATTGAAAACTATTGCGTAATAAATTAGACCTTCTAGTGTTTTTTTTTTGATTCTAGTTGTCAAATTAAATTCATTCATTTACCCTCTGCTTGTCTTCCAATTTTAAATTCGTCTTCAAGGACCTTGTTTAAAGCACAGAGCAGTAAAAAGTTACTTTTTGGGTGATAAAACGAACTGCCAGTTATATTTAACAGTCGATGCACTTAGACAAAGTAGCTTCACAAACGCCGTCACTTTTAATCGAATATAGGAAAATGCTGTCATTCTTAAGTAGATTCTTTCCATCACTTATTA